GTGTGTGTGTGTGTGTGTGTGTGTGTGTGTGTGTGTGTGGATGTATTGAGTTACATAGAGGATATACAGCTTTATCTTTCCTTTCATCAGCTGAGTGAGCTAAAAGAAAAAGAATCAACCTGCAGTGCAATGTGAGTCTGACGTTTACACAGGCTTTCGAACACACAGGAGCACAGACAGAGTGCTGACTAAGGCTCACCAGCTCAAATCCAGAGATGACCGCCACCACGGCGTTTACCTTCTCACGTCGACACATTTTTAAACACCCGATGCCTTCTTCTAATGCCTGGTTTTACAGCAAATATTAAAACTAACATTCCTTAAAGAAATATGTATCCGGGGGAAGTTCTAGGGGCGGGGCCACAGGGGCATTGGCTCCTGCTGAAATTTGATTGGCCACCTGAAGTGCCCCTGTCCTGTCACTCATCTGTCCTTTGCCCAAGAGTGATGATGCTGGGTTCAGTTCCATGTCTAAACACTAGAGGTGCTAATGAGCCAAATAGAAATGTTCAACATGAATCAAGCTGACAGAAGAATTTTTCTTTTCTTAAAATTTGAAAAATCCTGTAGAAAAAGCATTTTAACTCACAAATGATGGCTGGACTATCTCAAAAGTTGTGTGTTTGAGAGTATTTTATCTACATAATGTAAAATGCATGTAAAATTGGTAAGGAGAATTTACAGTGCAAGCTGTTTCAAAATTACTTTACARGTGTTTAAATGCATGACTGGTAAAATATATACACCAAAACCAGCGATTTGTGTGCAAGGATGCTGAATAAATACTTGGCCCCTCTATGAATATTGTGGCCCCTTGATGGCCCCTTACTCAGAAAAATCCTAGATCTGCCACTGTATGTATCTTCCACTTGCTTGTCATGCCAAAAGTTTTAAACAAAAATGTGGATGACTCACAGCTACTACCACACCAAACTTTAGCTCAATATCTGCAAAACTGACTGAGTTGTAGCCATTTTTGTGTTAGCTAAGATCAGTTAGCCGTGGTGTCCATTTTGAACCAAAGTGACTAAAAGTTAATGAGTTCTATGTTCAGTGGTTCATGGGTTATTTTGCTAACAGACGCATCCAAAACTCAGACAACATGGCGTGAATGTTGAGTGATCATAAAAGCTCATTGTCCAATGGATTTACAGTATGTGAAGGGTTTTACAGATTCTGTCAAAAATCAGTTTTATTTGGCATTAAAAGCTCAGAGTTACAGTATGACCCCAGAAAACAAATGTGTTGCGTACAAAACATTTTTAAAAAATCATATATTTTGAACTGGTGCGTTTACTCATGCACTGCTTGCACAGTGCATTCTGGGTATTCAGAAAGTCTTAGTTCTGTAAATATATCTGCAGTTCCAGTTTCAGTCAGTTGTGTTTTTCTCCGTAGAGATAATGAATCCAACATGATGCTGCTTTGACTGCATTTTACTTGAATGCAAATGGGGAGAAAACAAGTCTTCATAGCTTTGCTAGACAGTAGAAGTAGCAGCCAAAGTTTCCCAGACCGCATTTTGGGATCTTTTGACATACTTTGTGATTAATTAGCCTATTTGCTAATGCTAACTCGAGGCGGGGGCAATCCTGGTCTTTAAAGGCTCCTGCCCTGCTTATTCTACGAGTTCCCTGTGCTAACATGGGTTTTCTACGGTTTCCTCTTAAAGACCAAAAAACATGCTTTCAGAGATCTCAATGCTGTCTTGTTAAACAGGGATAAATAAATAAAGGGTACTTTAAACGTGGCATGTTGTTGGTGCCAGATGGAACGGTCCGAGTTATTCAGAAACTGCTATTTACTCAAAACCAAAAATGTCCAGTGTGCTGCATTTGTGTAGATAAAACGACCTTGTTGATGTCAGAAGACTGGGTTCCTGAGTTAAATTTAAGATTTTTTAAGACCTCTTTAATGCCACTTGAAATGAAATTTAAGACCAACTTCACAATAAACACTAGTAGAAAAAAACCCAGTTAGCAACAATTTTACCCAAAGGTTTATTCCAACACAAAAGATAAATAAAAGTTACTAATTATTTTAACATTTGAGACAAATTATAATCATCTTATTTACAATGCGTTAACATTTTTAAGACCTCTGAAAGATTGATTTAAGACATTTTAAGGCTAATTAAGGCCTTATTTTTGAATGGATGAATTCAATGCCTTTTATGACTTTTTATGGATCCTCAGGAACCCTGGAAGAGAGTGGACAGACTGGTTTGAGATGATAGAAAGTTCAAGTTCAAGTTTATTTATATAGCGCCAAGTCACAACATACATTTGTCTCAGGGCACTGTACATACAAAGAACAATGTAAAGAAAAAGCCAGCAGGCTGCGTTGAATCACTTCATCAGTCTCTCATCCTGAGCAAACGGTGGAGAGGAAAAACTCCCTGCTAATCAGGAAGAAACCTCCAGCAGAACCAGGCTCAGGGCAAGCAGCCATCTGCCTCGACCGGCTGGTTTAGGGACAGGGAAGTGACAGACAAACACAGAAGAACTGGTCCAGGACTGGTCCTGGTGCGCCTTCTTCTGGAAGAGACAATGAAAAAACTTGATAGAAATAATTACAATGAACATGTAGAGAAGAAAGGCAATGTATTTCAAAGAACCTTTTTGTTTACAACCACGGTCTGCAGAACACCATCTCAGAACTCACAACTTTGCAAGAAAGTCATGAGATCATGCGAGTTAGGACGTTACTTCCTATTCGCCTCAAATGGACCAAAACATTAAAAAGTGCATCAAGTTTCATGTAAGACAGATCATCTGGGATGTTTATTTTTGTGTGATGCAATCTGATTTCAAAGAGTGGTGCACTTCAGGTTTTGCCAAACCCCTAAGTATTCATTTGAATGTATTAATCTTGAACTCTGACATTTTAAGGGAAATGGTCGTAGCTACATCTTTTGAGTAAACTGACCAGGACAAAAAGTAAATAAATAAAGTCCGAATGCAGCTTCAGGAGGGAAAATGACACCATTCCAAAGGGTTACTGTGTAACCGTGAGTATCTGTGTGTACCGTGAGGGGGGTGATTACGGTGTAGAATGTCCTCCTCATCGTCAAAGCTGACCTAAGAACACAACGGTTAATCATCCACTAACCGGCGGGGCGACACGGCGTGAGAGAGGAGAGAGACGAGTCACCTGAGCGCCTGAAGGAGAGCCGCTCCTCTGACACACTTTAGTTTGAATAAAAACAAAACCAAACAGAGAAGAGGAGGAGGGTTCGGAATATCTGAGAGTGCCTGAGAGTACCTGAGAGTACCTGAGAGTGGGTAACAGAAGTTTGCAGCTGAAGCTTGGACCGCACCTTTAGGTTGTTTTTTTTCCCATTTTTAGTAACTCTATTTGCTGTCTGCCAAAGCTTAGGCAGCATGTGAGGTACTTTTCAGGTTTCTGGATCCAGTTGTGAGTGTCAGGAGGTGGCCTCATGGAGTCCTGTCTGAGATGCCAGCTGCAGCACTGAAGCCCACGCTGGAGAACATGGTTTCGGATGGAGGGGGAGCGGGAGAGCGTGAAGCAGCCCCATGGGAGAGCCCGGGGCTGGGGCGTAACAGGCAGCCTCTGCCCTCCCTCAGAGTGCCCAGGGAGCTGCTGCGGAGCTTCCCCCACTCCAAACGGGTGGGATCCTACCTGGTCGGGAAGATGATCAACAAGGGCTCATTTGCCAAAGTGATGGAGGGGCTGCACATCGGTACGGGGGAGAAGGTGGGTGCTTTCTCCAAAACAGGATGAATCAGAGAGGGAGATCATATCCCAGACATGATCACACATTCAACACATGATTACACAGTTCTAACTAGTACCTTACAGATAATTRTACACAGGAGAACGTGAAGGAGGCGGCCTCATTATGTTTTATATGTTTACAGACTCAAGCCAGACTTCTTTACAAACGCTTATTTACCATCCAACTCTTTGCACTGCAGGCTTAAAAGGATTTTATATGAATTTTTTGTACAATATACAGGCTGCATGTCTGCCACACCAAGACACAAAATCTAAAACATATCTTCATCCTTTATTATTATATATTAGAATAATTGCACTGTATGTGATGCACATTAGGCAGGGAAACCCAGGAAGCTAAAATAAGTAAAAAGATTTTGCTGTTTGGGTTTAAAATAAGTAAAAAGATTTTGCTGTTTGGGTTTAAAATAATCCCTTTTATTCAGACACGAGTAAAGCATTTTCCCCTTTGTGTCAGACGTTATCTATTAGAAATGGGACCTCAGTGTTGGTGTGTGAATGTATCTGAACCTACATGTGTTCCTTTCACTTGTTGCTTTTTGTAGGGTGTTATGGCAATATTTCTTTAACAAAAAGACAGAAATACATGGTCCAAGAATGAAGGTACTCCGTGGGATGATCAGCTGAGTTTTATTGCAACAACAGGAAACACAGAGAACAACCTGGCCTGTCTCTGTGTCTCTTCTTCTGTCTGTCGCTGTCTCTCCACACTACTGTGAGGCCTCATATATATATTAACACCATTATGTCATCTTAGCAAGATTTGATAC